GGGAGTTCTTCGTTTTCTGCACCTGGGCGGTCCCGACTGGACCTCTCCCAGTCTCTTGCGGCTGTTTCTAAGAGCACAATTTTTCTTCAGGTGCCCTCGTCTACTACAAAACCAGCACCTACTTGTCGGACAGTTTACCGCAAAGTGGCCCACCTGACCACATATCCAACATTTTCCGCTTCTTCTCTGTAATCTGCCCACCCTCTCTCTTATTCCTGGGTGGACCTCACCTTTTCCTAATTGCTCTCCTACCCACATGTCCAACTTTTTACTTTCCTTTTTTTTAACTGGGCCACCCTCCCTCTTTATTCTGAGGTGGCCTGCTGTTTTTATCCTAGTTCTGTCTTTTGGGCTCGGCCTTTTTCAACAATATCGGTGGCACACCTTTTCTTAATCCGCACCACTTTGCTAGGTGTCCCTTCTTCCCACACCTAGTACATTTATCTTGCTCAAAGTCTGTGGACAGACCCCACTTCGTCGAACAGTCCGCCGCTCTGTGATCCTCATGTCCACATGTCCAGCAGACCAGCCCGTATCGACCCAGCGTGGGCTTATAGAACCTCATACAGATCAGCCAACTGGTCCTGCATGAACGCATTATTTCTCACTACCTCTGGGAAAGCTAATGACGACAACTTTTCCGCTCGGGCCCCCAATTCTCCAGGGGTTTCGTCCCTCAGTTGCGTCATCTTTAGAAGGGCTCTCATGGCCTCTATCGCCGTCCCCTTGTCATCGAACTCCCGAGTTAATATCTCTTCCAATCTTTTCCATGGCAAGTGAGGCTCACTATCTAAGAGTCCTTTTATGAACTCAGACGCTTTTCCCCTGGTGGCATCATACGCTAAATATAGGGTTTCTTGGTCTGAGAGTCCATATAACACGCGGCTCTTATCCAAGATTGCCAGCCAATTCCTAAAATCCTTTGAACTACCGTCAAAACTCCAGTAACCCTTTATATCTTACTCTTATTGTTGTCTTACCCGGAGGAAAACGATTAAAAAACAACAAAGTTAGACTACATCATAAACGGAGCTATGCACATGAATAAAGTCGCTTATAATACTCATATGATCTTTTAGTAATAATCTAATTACGCCATGTATAAACACATTGATTGTAGGATCTTTGATTAGTTAATTTGTTGTTTATGTGGAAATATACTTCATCTATAATGATGTTGATAGAAGGATTCTCTTGTGGTTGAAGTAGTTACATGATGTTTGCAGTAGACATTACCTCTTTCTTAAGTAAATTTAAGAAGTAGTTATTTGAATGCAAGTTTCTCAGGCATCGAAGTTTCTCACTTTTCAAAAAACACGCCAAAAAATAAATACTGTTTTCAACTGGTGGGTTCCTTCACATATATACAATTCTGCGCGACTAAGCTCTTCAGTGAATATGAAAAAAAGTCTGGGGTTAAAGTTTTACACCAATGTCAGATGTCAATGTTTGAACTTCGATTAACACCAGAATTTCCTGGAATATACGTCCGATGCACTAATTCTGACTATTCATCAACCTTGATCCTGAGTTTACGATATATTTATAAATTACAATTATTGTTATAACTTAGCCATAATTTTATTTCATATGGTGTTCTCAAAAGGTAGTTAATTAATGAATATTTATTCTAATTATTAAACTTTTAAGAATACAAACTAGTTTTGAAAGAAACGTTTCGTGATAAGCATGATTAAAACAATGAAACTTTTAAATATCAATCATGCATTACATGAATTAAATGGATGAGGGAATTTTATATATATAATTACGAAATGTATATTCTATTTATTCCATATTTTAAATCATTTGGTAACTATTAAATACATTTAATATCAATATAGCTTATGGAAAAACAGGGATTCGATAATTTCTAGTTTTGTTACTCTAAATATTATCTCATTGAACGTGAAGTAAGTTTCTCACTAATTTCTTTAGATTATTTCCTTTAATATATCCTGTAAGTGTTAGAATTTGCAAGCGTTTTTCTAATTTTTAATCCTCGAAATATCCCTTGCCTCATTATTGTCAGCAATTTAAAAAAAAACTTACTCAATATATCTTAGTTATTCTCCTTACAATTTTATAATTAAAACATTTAAGGATCGTTATCGATTTATTTCATGTCCCATTGTTATAGTAGAGCTATATTATAAGAAGTGAAATTAGTTGTTAGACTCCTATATAATGTGTTCATTCATAAAGGGTGTATTCATGGTACTCCCTAACTTTCTAACATGTGTTGTTCTTTGTAATATTTTCATGAGAATATATTTAAATATTCTTTAAAAAATTGCAAATATTAAAGTGCGGATGTTCTTAAATTTCTCTCACCAACTTAAATTTTTAGAAACTTGCAATGAATTTTATAACAAAATGATGTGCATCATGAAAATTGGAAAACTGGGTTCACGGATTTTTCTATCTACTTCTACTTGCCATTTCCTATAAATATATTAAAGGGCTTTATAATTCAAAACTTTCAGGCTATATATTTTCTGACTATCTCTCCCATTCAATTTTCTTTGTTCATTTAAACTATGTTCATTGTTCTGTCTCTTTTCCTCATCTTTTCTGTAATATTCATGACGTTTCGGCCGCTGTACGCTCTGGTCTTCTTCAGGTTATTAGCCAAGCATTGAAATCAATAAAATATGGGAACCAGTAATAAGGAGTACTAGAGTATAGTAATAATAACAAAACACAATTTCATTATAAGATATGGTTCCTGAGATATTATGTTTATAAGTCTCCAAAATACATATATTGATATCCTCATGGACACGTGCCGAAGTGGATAAACGCGTCAGAAGTTCAATACCTGGCTACTGCAGTGTTAAACAAAATGTTAGTCGAGTTAAAAGGAGATAATCTAAGACATCCACACCTAAAAGAATTTACACCGGTGGACGAAATAAAAGGGTCAGTTCGAAACTGCAATCACTTTAAGCAGGGCAGTGTGTACTACTGTCGAAACGTAGAAATATGGCATCAAGAACAATCTAATAGTCCAAATAATGTAAATCTCAGAAATATAGACACATATCACTTAGTTGTCATCCTCATATGATTTTTTCCTGCTAATTAACCCCCAACAGAATGACATATTCATGAAGTGAAAAAGAAAATATCATTGGTATATTACATACCGTAAACAGCTTATATTTAATGGAAGAATATTATTCAAACAATGTTGGCAATATCATTTAAAATATGACAGAAGCGAATTTTAAATCTGAAAAGCTCATAATTTACAAATAACGCCTGAGATTTTTAACATTCATATGCAAAAGTATAGCATATTTCATATCGATTCTATTGAACGTTAGACTGATGTTATAATACATTTTAATTTGATTCATATCACAACGAGATCCACGGAGAAATTCTTTAAATTCTCGATAAATTCTACCATATTCTCAAAAATTATTTAAGTATCATGGTTTTCGTAAAAAAAAGAAAGGTAAAGGACAGCCAGCAGATTTTAATTAATTACTCCATTTCTTTAGGCAGATGCGGGTTTTGTACGTAATATTAATTTATTAATTTGTTATAACGAAATGAACAGTTGTGTGCAATCCCATTAAAGTATCGACTGACTCTGATAATGCCAAACTTTCTCTACTGTCTTCGTGAATACTCTTATTATTCGTACTCTTTAATAAGTTTTCCTTTTTATTGTTTTTAAAACCAATTTCATTTTTATAATTTCAATGGCGATATTGACAATACTGTTTAGTTTAATATTTTAATCACTTCTTTTAATAGTATATATTCTTTTAAATTGCCTTATCTGAATTATTTTAAAAATCTTTAAACGTGCTATAAACAAATAATGCTAAGAAAAATGAAGTGAACACAATATTCCCATTAGAGATTATAGTCGATAATTTAATGTAAGTAAAATAAATATATCTAATTTTGATTAACAAGATATACAAGAAGTTTTTTGTCAATTTGAGTTGCTGATGCAGGATAAACGATTGTAAACTTTATTCTGCTACCTCTTGAGAAAATGATTATTTCTAATAATAGTTTGTGATATGTATGTTTGCAATATCTCTCATTTGTTTATCTATATCGTGTAAGATATTCTCGTAGAGTCAAGATACACACACACACATACACACACATATATATATATATACATATATATATACATTTTGACGTGAACAAATATATTAAAACTTTTTAATTATCGATAGATTTGTTTGTATTTTTATCGTATAATAAACCACGGAAAATAATGAAAAATATAGTTTTAGTATCACCTGTAAAATTTATGTATAAAAAACTATTTTTTTCAAAATAGACTTTTTTCGTTGGTCTCAGTTATTCTGTAAAACGATAAAAATATTATGTAAATATAATCTTGTCAGGTAACAAAATGGTTTCAAAAATTATTATGATCTGCTACTTCTTCTTTTTAATTGCTTTCTTGAGACAGTATACTCTTTAGATAGGTATATAACATTTTTGGAAATCTTGAAGGAATTTTAAAACAATATTTTATCTACTTTGTAATTCCAAGTCTTTCGTCCTTTAAATAATCCATGGAGCAAAATGTAACTATTTTATTGTAATAATAATTGAACTCTAAAATTTCCGCACATAAACGTAATCTATACGAAGCAACTATATATCTATTTATGACTTGGGCTTAAAACTTGATAAATATAATTTTATATAGTATATCATTGAAAGGATATAGACAATCCAAAAGTTTCTATCTTTCGATTCTTTATGGAAAATTTTAATTTTACCGCACCTATATTTCTTTAGGAAAAATTCTAATTTATTTGTAACTAAATTTAATTAAATATAACTGATATAATAAAAAAGTTTTTCTGAAAGCTTTAAGTAATCAGTTTTGTCTATTTACTTTCAGACAACATAGAAATAAATGAAAAATAGAAACAGTACTTTAGAAGGAAATGCATATATTTTATAAAGAAAACTCTCATCCATACTCTTCAATATTGTTATACCTATTTAAATAGATATACTTCTCTCTCTCCCTTTCTTTCTCTATCTATCTATCTATCTATCTATCTCTCTATCTATCTATCGAAAATAGAAATCTGACATTCATAAGTAATTTACATATGGCTAAATAAGAGTTATTTCTAATTTCCAAATGAATTGAAATTTTCAATATGCTTTCAATCATAAATTAATTATATGCTGAATTGCATAGCATTATATAAAACTTCGGGAAAATATTTCGGAGAGGGTTAACCCACCCCCATCATTCGATATATTGTGTGTATGTGTAACTTCTGGGAATGTTCACGAAAATATATACAGTTATATAGAGATTTCATTAAAGATTTTAATTCAGTACAAACAATTCAAGATCAAACGTAAACACAGTAGAACTTCGTACTTAACTTTACAAAAATAATTCAATAAAAACTATAAAAAGAACCTTTTAAAGAGTAAATGATGGCAAAATATATTAAAACATTAATCTCTTTCAGATTTGACAAGAAAAATCTCTATAATCAAAATTCTTTTACAGATATCTTTTTCGAAGAAGGAAACAATTGTCTGGTATTCCGTTGAGCCAATCTCAAGCTAGTAATCGCACACCATGTGGAATCTCTTTGAAAACTTTCAAAAGCCTCCCCACATTTCCATTCCCCCCCTGATCTAGGTCAATCAATCAATTCAAATGGGACACCGTGATCGATCAGCTTGTGAATTGTAGCATTGTAACAGTCAAAGTAACTGAATCAAGTGAAATAGAATATTTACGTCTTGGTTTAGCGGGCTTATTTTAATTTTTGCATCGAATAACCTTTCCTTTATAACCGTTCAACTTCACTTGCTTTTTGTTTCGTTCCTTACAATGTGCACAACCTTATGCGAGATTCATATATGAGTTTACGCATTAATTCATGTAAAGTTGGATACGTACTTGCGTTAAATACATCACTGGGTTGTGAGTAAACAGAAATATCGATGATGGATACAAGAGCAGTAAAACAAGTAAATAGTGCTGGAAACATAAGAAGATAGGTTATATATTTTAAGTTCTTCTACGTCATTGCTATATGCCTTGATGCTACTACAAACATTAACTTCCATCTCTTGTCTTCTATCGATCAATCACCTTACCTGAATAAATATATGTATAAATGTATGCAAGAGTAAGTGTGTGTGTATGTATAGAAATATATATATATATATATATATATATATATATATATATATATGCGTGCGTGTGTGTATGTGTGCGTATTTATGTGTGCGTATAATATAAATATATATGTGTATAATATGCATATATATGTGTGTGTTTGTGCATATATATGTTTGTCTATATATACATATATATACACACGCATATGCAAGTGTATGTATATATATATAAAGAGGTATAGTTCATATGCTTGTATATAAAGACGCTGATACTTTATCAATAATAATGAACAATCACATTTCGCTTCTAAAGAAAAGTTGTCATCTCAACGAACACTTTATTCTTCTTCTTCTTCTTCTTCTTCTTCTTCTTATTATTATTATTATTATTATTATTATTTTTGATTTCTGGCGTTTACACATTTCTTTCCGTGTCCCACCCAGGGACCTAATGTTAGAAATGGCGTCATGACACTTTCCACTGACAAAAAAAAAATTAAATTACATAGATAAAGCCCTTCGTAAGGTGTGGGCTGTACTTGTCAGAACAATTTTTTGTATCTCCTTGAGTCATGGGCTTCCAGGAATCCCTTCAATTAGTCTACTGCAATCTTTTCCAACCAGTACTAGGGCTCCAACTACAACAGGGATTGTTGATGTTCCCATATGCCACATTTTCGAGATTTCTATTTCAAGGTCCTTATACTTTGACAACTTTTTGAATATCTTCAAATATACATTGCAGTCAGCAGGGACTGCCATATCAATAAGGAGGCATCATTTTTGTTTGTGGTCTTTAATAACAATATCTTGCCGGTTGGCCTTGATTGTTCTGTCAGTGTGTATTGGGTAGTCCCATAGAATTGTAACAGGTCCTATCTCCGTAACCGGGTCTGGGTGGTGTTCATACCAGTTTCTTTCAGTTTCCTTCCCGTAGAAGTTGCAGATTTTCCAGTGCAGATATTGGCCCACACTGTCATGTCGGGTTTTATATTCAGTGGGTGCCAACACCGTACAACCTGATACAAGATGATCAATCGTTTCTGGATATTTATCACAGAATCTGCATTTTGGGCTGACACAGTATTTTAGTATATGTGCTTGATAATTCCTAGTTAGCAAGCATTGGTCATGCGCAGCAAATTATTTCCTTTGATTTCTGGTGTGCACTCATTGCTTTCCGGGTCCCGACAAGAGAGCTAAGTGTTCATGACATTTTACACTGAGCAATTTGAATATTAAAAAAGTCACACATATCTTACAGATCTGAATTGGTGTCAGTCGAAGATTCTACCGCTAAGCCGTCGGCACACGGTAGGGATGAAGGTGAATTTTAACGTATTTATTTTTAGATAAACACACACAGTGACCGACAGTGACTCAATTCGCTTTTGCAGAAGAGTCTCGCTATATCAGCTATAATAGTCACTGTTTACAAACACACACCTCCTCCCAGAGAGTCCAACTGAAATTTATTTTTCAGGAGCCATCAGGAGTCAATATATATATATATATATATATATATGTGTGTGTGTGTGTGTATGTGTGTGTGTGTGAGTGTGTGCGTGTGTGTGTTTGTGCGTGTGTGTGTGCGTGTGTTTATATCTGTTTGTACGTGTTTACTTGTATATTTAAGATCGATGTTATCATCGATGTTTTATTATATTCATCAATGTTTATTTCAACATATATTCATATTCTGTACTCGTCCATAAACATATATTGACAAAATGAAGTTTAAATATATGTATATATTTCATTGTCTTTTTCTGATATTAATCCTCAGGTGATCTTCGGCGCGGAAAGTGAACGAGGGAAAGAGAGAGAGAGAGAGTGAGATGAAAGTGACAAATAAAGAAAGTACTCTGTTTTCCTTATTTTCTTTAACAGAAAAAGACAGAAAGGGAAGAAACAATGTAGCGTCCATATAGAATCCTCTACGCATTTCTCATATTTCAATAAACCTTTGCTTTTGATTTCAGCTGCATTTTTTTGTTTTTGTTATTTCCGTTTTTTTTTTCATTAAGAGACGAAACGAAACGCAGCTCAATTCGAAAAGGATCAGATGTGATATTGAAAAAGAACGAATCATGTTTTAGTAATAGTAGCAATAATTGTATTTAAGTGCATCGAGAGCAGTAGTTATGGTGGTGATATTAGAAGTAGTGTTGGCAGAAGAAAGAATAAAAGAGAATAATTATTTAGAAATTTATTTTAAAATGCATGTTCCTTGTCATTGAGCTAAATTGATTTTTTCAAAATATTTTTCTTAACGCAACGAGTTGTTTTTATCATGTTTTCTATAAAACGTTTGACATATATTTGATGGATGTTTGCGTTTCTACCCTAGAGATAAAATTGCTTTGATATGTTAAATATATCACATTTAAAAGTTATAACTTGCAGAAAAATTATGCAGACATGATGTGCATTACGTATAAGACTCAATGGGTCTTCATAAATTGAACACAGGATTTTAATATTAACATTGATAGTATATGTTAATACAATTTAAATCCTATGAGAAATATGAATAAACGCACAAATACATTTTCTCTATATGTATATCTCTATCGCCCTCTCATACATACATATACACACAAACATACACATTGACCCACGCACGCACACAAACGCAGACACACGCGCACGTGGGAGGACTGCATGTTATTTTATCTAATCGAATATTCCTTCTTCTAAAAAAATATATTTAATGTTTTAAAAGTTTTACGGACCGAGGACATTTAATTACAATAATATATACAGAGTTACCTCACAAAATGACAACAAATGCGGTATTTATTGACATGCAAAAAAGATTAATGGTTAAAATTATTAAATACACAAATATATATATATATATATATATATATATATATATATATATATATATATATATCCAGTAAAACTGTCAAACTGACCAGAGAATTCAGAGCAGCATGTATCTATCCAGCTCTTGTCTCAAATAACAACTTAAAAGAGACTGTTTGACCAACACAAGGAATGTGAAAAGATTCATGTTAAAAAGATAAAGAAATAAAAAAAACAAATGAAAACTACAGACAAAAGTTCATTTTCTCCAACAAAAGACTCATTTCTGTAGTTTAGTGCTAGCAGCAAGCAGAAATATTTCTCCTCCCGATGATGGCCATTTTGGTCGAAACTAGTCGAGGAATCTAAATGAAATAATAATAATAAAAAAAGAAAGAATATTAATCTACAACCCATTGTGTCTAAAGATTTTAATATTTTTATTGTTAAAAAATCTATCTATCTATCTATCTATCTATCTATCTATCTATCTATCTATCTATCTATCTCTCTCTCTCTCTCTCTCTATATATATATATATATATATATATTCAATTTCAAAGAAAATAGACGATTATATAAAATCAAATTAAATACATGGAGTTGGAAAAATATCATGAAGGTATAGGAAGTCAAAAATTGAGTAGATATTTTTGGATGCCTCAATATACAGGGAGCGATGCGGAAATTGTCGCCGTTTTATATTTTTAATTCCGCGCTTGCACGTTGTTTGTTTTTAATGTTGTCCACTTCACCATATAGAAGGCTCAGTTTGACACTGTCTGAGAAATAAAGAGCACTGTGACGCAATTCAATCCAACCAAAATTTTGGCATTCGAACCGGAATCTCCAATACGAGAATTTTCGTGTATTTAGTTGTCAATCTGAGGATAGTGGTGAGGATTTGGAAAATGTTTTATGCATCTATTTTTTTTAAGCATTTCCCCCCAAGGAAGGCGGGAAATCACTAGTACGCAAGGGTTTACAGAGGATTTGGAGCGAGAGCAGATAGTAGTGATAGAGGAAGGAATGGAGAGAAGGCTAGTGGATACATCAAGGCAACTGGAGATATCAAAAAACATTACATTTGAATAGTTGGAGATTATAGCTATCAGGGAGACAAGAAAAGGCAAGGGAGTTCCACAGGTGAGAGGTGTGTGATATGAACATATTGGAGTAGAAGATATGGCTACATTTAACAGTTTCGGCAGTAAAAGGGTGGCAGCATGATGCCAGCCTCGTAGGACGCTTTAATTCGCGAAGTCTTGGAACCAGCGAAAACAGCTCATCGGCGCGATTACCATGAAAGTATTTGTAAAAAGACAGAGAGAGACGAAGGTACGTCTGTGAGAGAGCGACTGCAGACGAGATGCCAGATCAGGCTCAATTACATTCTATATCCCTCTCTGGATATTTTCAAGAATCCTGAGGCAAACAAAAGGGGCTCCAGACTATATATGGCAACAATACTTCATGCAAGGGCGAATATTTGATTTGTAGATTTGAAGGATCGATTACGGAGAGAAAAATTTCCTGTCACGGCAGAGGGAGCCAATTTCCCTTAAGTTGGACGAAGCAATGGTGATTACTACAGTGTTTAATGTCGACATTATGCCTCCATTCATCTTCACTCAGATCCCCGGACTCAATACGAAGTCATACATCAAATGCCTTGACGAGGTAGTGCTTTTCTGGTGTCAAGAGGGTGAATACTGAAAGAACCAATGTCTGGCAAAAGTATTCTACACCATGCCACAGAAGAAAGAGAAACCATTAATGGCTGACAGACAATTTCTACAAGTTCCTCATCCCTTGCATCTGGCTCCTTAACTCTCTAGACTGCCACACAATTCATTAGTATATGTGGGACGTAGGTGAGCGAGAGACCAACAAAACCACTTTAACATCGAAGATGAACTGAAGGCAAAAATTATGAAAACATTCACTAACAACAAGACCGTCTATAAGAAATGCAATAGATTTCGAAGTCACCTGGAAGCTGTGACGATTTTATTGAAAACATTTCCTTTTTAGTATTTCGAGATATTTTTGTGTAATGTTGGGAAATATAACTGTTAAAATAAGAAGTTACTGTTATTTTCATTTTGCGTAATTTAGACAATTTAAACAGCTTACCCCCCCCCACACACACACATATATATATAGCTTTTCGGTCAACGCTCTGTCAAAGATATTTGTTGGCAATATTTAATGTAAATGAATACAAAGACAATGAGGTGACTGGGGAGGGAAAGGTGGAACTTGACGAAAAGATAAATTTTAATTATATAAATTAAAATCGAATGAGGAGGAATATCAATAAATAGTTTCACAAGAGTATATAAAATAGAAAAAGGGAAACTTGGCATTGGTACGTCCTATGTATACCGCGTAACAACGGCATTTAAATTTATAAACAAGTTTTTTTTTTTATGAAAATAAGAAAGCCTATCTTTAGAAAAGGAAGGAAGCAGGGTTTTAGTATGAAAAACCGGACGCAACTTAACAGCATTGTATGTGGACGAAATAGACGCTGAAATTTTGTTCAATAGTAGCTGACATTTCCTACCAAGCCAAGGTAACTTCAAATAAACAGGGCATGGGCTAGGACCAAATGTCACAGACTCCTTTAAGTGTCTGATTTTATTATCGATCACACGCCTGATAATATTGATGGGATATCCATTACTTTCGAAAATATTTCGAATTTTAGTAATTTCTCCATCCAACATTTCAGGGGAACAAATCAAAACAGCACGATGGACCAAAGTCGAAATCAGACTAGTTTTGCGAGACTTAGGAACAAACGAGTTCCAGCTCGTATAGAGACCAGGGAATGTGGGTTTACGGAAAACATTGGGGACGAAAGCCTCATCCCTACGTTCAACCAGTACATCCAAAAAAGGGAGAGCTCTATCTTTTTCAATCTCCATTGTAAACTTAAGGGAAGGATGGAGAGAATTTAGTTGAGCTTGAAAATTAGTGGCATCTATGAATGATTCAAAAATGCAAAAAGTATCGTCCACATATCTCATATAGACAAGGGGTTTGTTGACTTTATCAAATAAGATTCGTTCATAATAGCCTATGAAGATGTTGGCTAAAGCGGGACCTAAAGGACTGCCCCTATATAAAACATCAGCACTTTACGTCTAAAGTAATGGGACATTGGTATATAAACTGTCAATATCAAATGCTACCATCAATTTATCTTCAGACTGAATATTCAAACCTCTAAAGAATTTGGAAAAAAGAAAGACGTCAGAAATATTATAATCCGAAAAAAACCTTCGAGACAGGTTGGAGTACTTCAGCTAACCATTTAGCCAACACATGTTGTACGGATCCTACCATAGACAAAATAGGTCTAAGTGCGTCTCCCTCTTTGTGTACTTTAGGAAGTCCATGCATGCGAGGACGTTGCCAGCCTGTCGGTCTCACCCTGTTGTAAACGTCTTTGGGGATAAGATTAGCCTTATATATAGCATGTAACAATCTTTATGTCCTAACTTCAAATTTACTGGTGTTGTCGCATGTATCTGCGGGGCCAATCATCTAAATTTTGTAGAATCATTTAAAATGTCATTCATTTTATCCAGATAATCTTGTTTATTTAGGATTACAACGCCAGCACCTTTATTAAGCTTGGTTAGGTACACATCGTTCCTTGACATTAATGATTTTATGGTGCGAAAATGAATACCTTGCCAACCAAGAAAATCCCGCTCAATCGAGAGCGATTGTATTCATTAGCTAGTTCAAGCAGTTTTGCTTTAGTAGAAGAGAACTTCTCAGTAGAATTAGGTACATGTTTTACTAATTGAGAGAATAACATCTCAAACTCAATCAAAATATTTTCCTTATTAACTCTAGAAGGAGGGATGTGGAAATCCAAACCACGAGAAAGAAAAGATAGTTCAATCCCAGTTAAAGTGATATTGGAGTAGTTGAACATATGTTTGTTTAAATTGTCTTCAACCAATCCAAACCTTCTAGCGATGAGGCTATTTAAATATTTATTATTTCTCTCTCTCACTGATCTTTCCAGCCGTAACCTGACAAAAAACAAATAACGAGGGAGACGGAAAAAATCTGAAAAAAGACAATTTACCTCGTATATCATTAATGATAAAACGAAACGTGCGTAAACTGGATACTGAAAAGTCAAATAATTTTTCCAACTCATTTTTAATGAAATTTGTTCAATAGAGAGGGAACTGAATTCGATTTTTATTAGCCTTCTTTTAATAAATGAGGGAACGACATATATGGACAATATGATTCTACTCGTTTTGAGAAGACAGGGTAAGAATTACTTAATGAAAAACCAAACAGCTTTCCAAAACGACAAATTTGAAGAAAACTTCAAAATCCGGAAAGAAATTTGTGTCAGTTTGTGAGTTTCGAACTGGAATAGATGTTAATATATAATTGAATCTTAACTTTCGGAGATACATGATATTTGTACACTTTGACTGCAGTCGGGTGATCGAAATCTTCTTTCGAAAATTTTCCGGGTTATTTTTACTGACAACAATAGCGTTTTCCACATTGAACTTCCCATGTACATTCAATTTCTCTCGTCGTTTAGGGAAGTGTCATGTCAAAAGCACCGAAAATATTGCAGTATTGCCAACACTTTATGCTTAAAATTGATTCACTGGTGCCAAAGTTTAAAGACAATGATATGGTTTAATAATGTTTTCAAAACGTCAATATTCCATTATCAAAGCATTGTGATTTATTTTCATTATCTTCTTTAGAATAAATTATTGCATTAACTTTCGATATATGAAGCCATAATGGTAAAATATCACTACATCTTCTATGAATGAAAAATACACAGCTTACGAGAGTGTATCCTCATCGAGCGTATCCTAGAAAATGACATTTATTAGTAGTTTCTAGATGAGCAAACTTTAATTACCATATTGACGTCAGATACGTGCGATGAAAATGATCTTATTAATGATTCTATTTATCCATGGTCTATTCCTTTCGTGAAAATCAAAATTCACGATGTTAGATTTATTGACTTCGAATAGCAAACAAAGTCCCATTCCCCTCGCCACTACCTGCCCCCGCCCAAAATATCAATCACGTTGATAGTTTTTCTTTTTCCTTAAATGAAGACTGCCATCAATTTCCGATTCCCTTTCCGTGTCGGTCGGTCATATGTGTATGTCCGACTTCAAATTAGTTCACAAAAATCTTCATATTAAGATAAAAGCATCTGTGAAGATCTATATAATTACTAAGCTTAGTTTCCCTTGGCAAAATGGTGTAAATAATATTCTCTATCTAGTAGGCTAAATTGCAAATATTTACAAAACGCCTTGGTCTCAACTACATATATTATTCAAGTCCATTACACAAACTAAAACAACTATAATTGTCTTTATCCCTGAGGCAATCAGTTTAGCTGTGCAATCAAATGCCTATATAATTTTATACGATACTTAATGATAAAAGATGATGTCGACATAAGCATAGCAACATGATGCATTAACCGACATTCTGTAAAACTTGGACTAGCCAAACCATTGCATACGATTTAATCCATGAATACTCATTTCGGAATTTATTTCAGAACATGTACAGATACCAGACATGTAAAACTTTAATTTC